AGCACATCAAAACCAGATTAATAAGCCACCCGCATAATTTGAGAGGGGGGAAAAAAAGTAATGAGATTTATTTTTAATTAGATGCTGAACTTTAGGGCCTCTGAGTCATCATGAGTGAGGTTGATTATTACATTTCTCTATAATGGTCATTCCTGAGACCACGGCACTCTCCTGGGAAACCCTCACACCGGTGGGTCACCTGAGTGGATCCAGCCTAGAGTATCTCAGGGGGTTTGGGGGGAAAACACACGCTCAAGTCTTCCAGGAACACCTGCCTGTCTCCTGACCACCTCCAGAATACCCCTAAGCATTCACCTCCCCGAGTTGGGGCCGGAGAAGGGGACACTGGGCAGTGCATTTGTGGGCAGGCAATAATGAGATAATTGGCTAACCTTGAGAGAGAGCTTGGGACAACGCTGTCTCGAGCTGCATATTTTGACTAAATGTTTGCCTCTGCATGCTTATGATAGTTAATTGTGTGTGTCCACCTGAGTGGGACCCCGGGGTAGCTAGATATTTGGATAAAGGTGATGCTGAGGATGTGTGTGAGGGTGTTTCTGAATGAGATTAACACCTGAATCAGTGAGTGGCCTCCCCAAGGTGCGTGGGCCTCCTCCAATCTGTTGATGGAAGGCCTGGATGGAACAGAAGGCTGAGGAAGAGGGAATGTGCCTGACTGTCTTTGAGCTGGGCATCAGTCTTCTGCATTTGACCCTGACTCAGTATGAAACTTACACCGCTGGCTCTCCTGGGCCCCCAGCCTGCCAACGGCACATCTTGAGACTTAGCCTCCACAATGGCATGAGCCAGTTTCTTATCGAAAATGTTACGTATAAACACACAGAGTCATGTGCCGCTTCACAACAAAGACACATTCTGACAAATGTGTTACTAGGCAGTTTCATCTTTGTGCAAAACATCACAGAGTGAACTTGCACAAGCCTAGATGGTACAGGTCAATCACTTGACCTAGCCTTTCTATGTAGTCAAGCTATAGTACATACAAGGTGTATGGGGTTGCTGCCATCATGATATCACATACTACTTTACAGTAAATTTTTTTGTAAGTAGGATTACATTCTAAAATAACAATAAAAATAAAGTATAGGAAATGCATRAACTAGTTACAGAGTAGCCTGTTAGCACGATCAAAAATTATGTACTATACATAATTGGATATGCTACACATTTATGTAACTGGGAGTGCAGTAGGTTTTTTACACCAGCATCCCCACAAACACCTAGGATGTTGTTCGAGGAAGAGATGATGTCAGGAGGTGATAGGAGTTTCGGGCTCCATGATAATGTGTACCTTCCATCTGTCATAACTGAGTGTCATTCTGTGACATGGCTGCCCCATCTTCCGGGGGTTCTGATTCTCTGGACAACCCTGACACAAACTCCTTTGTACCCTGCACTGACTRCCTTTGAATTCGAATCACAGCTCTTGGGCTCTAGAAGAGACATTGCCTGTGCCCAGTGATCTGGTCCTAATCAGCCCAGGGTAACGTTTACAAGAGAAGAGAGGGTTAGTTTCCCCTCAGCTGCCCAACTGAGGGGGAGCCTCTAGGATCARTCAGGTGTTAGGGATTCCCAGGGTCCTGCAGGTGCCTCCCCTATGCCCTTCACAGATCTGGCTGAAGCCAGGGGACAGCAGAAACATCCTAGYTACGCGCAGGCTGTCCCCACCCCGCAGGTGTTCAGAGCAATCTGACTAGTGAATGTACTCAGYGCCTCTAATAAACAGGTGTTGGGAGAAGAAGAGCAGTAATTAAGTTAATGCAGTGGAGAAAAGAAAGGAAAATGGTTTTTATCAGTTGATGTCATGCGATCAAGACTTCTAATAAGGATGGAGTGTGACAGAAAAATACAGAGAATGGGACCTCTTATAGCCCAACCAATTAAAATGTATTTATTACAGGTTGGATTTTTTAAATGCACTCCTCTGACCCCACGATAGGAAAACTTTAGAAGATGACATTTCGGAGAACGTGTATTTTTCTTCCTAGACTTCTGTCTGCTGGCCATGTCACTTGGAAATTACAAAAACACAAGGAGCAGAGGGGAAGGCAGTTGGGGGCATCTCAACCAATGGAGCCCCAGGAAATCATTTATTAACAAATAACTTGATTTTGATTTTTAATTACTTGTGTAATCTACACTTTTACATTGTCATAATGGATGTTTACTTCGGTGATTTATAACACGGAACACTTTCTGTTCTATTCAAATGCACAAGTGTAAGCATTTTCCAACTTCTTTGTTCTTAGATAAAAAGGAAATTGATCTTTATCTGGTTACCATTCTGCTTTTTAAATACGGCAAATGCTATTTCCGAGGGGGCTGGCGTTGGTGGAGATGTGATGTTTCCATGGCTTCTTCCATTTTCTCCCTGATTCTAAGGAAGTTTCTGGAATACCTCTCCCGTCTTGCCTCTCTCAGCGTCTCCTAAGACGATTGGTCACAAACTTCAGAAGTTTGCGAGGCAGAGGTTTGGAAAAAGGGATCTTCTTCCAGGTTTAAAATGGCAGAAAGCAATAGCCCAATATCYGTTCGCTTCCATCTGGGCTCTCCAGACTTCTGGCCACTTTGTTCCTAACATTCCCAGATGCACTCTGTGGAGTGTCTACTCTCCCCCCGGGCAGGTTGATGGGGATGGGGCCCACAGAGTCGGAGATGCTCCTCTTTGAGAGGCACTGAGGAGCCTTTTGCTTTGCTGATCTACTCTCCCTTGCAAGGCCAGCCTCACCCAAGGTGACCTATCACCCACCCGGCAAACCCAGCCCAGGGTGCTGAATTCATATCGGATAGAAGCATAAGATGCACCTGGCCTCGTTTCCACTGTCCTGCAGAAAGTGGGTACCCTGCAGACCTCATCCCTGTGCTGTGGTCTGTGGGTCTCAGAGCTACACAATTTAAGGAGCCCCCAGCTCCAACCTGGGTAGGAAAAGAAATAGACATTGGCATGAAAAACAAGGTGTCCGAGATGGCCCGCCTTGAGCCTGGCTCCTTTCACCAACTCCCTTACTGGTTCATTCATTCAGCAAATACTTCCTGAGTGCCTTCCGTGAGCCTGGTTCTGTCGTAGGTATTGAAGACATGGATGGACAAACAGACAAAAGCCTTTGCTCCCACGGAGCTCTTACTCTGGTGCATGAACAGAGACAATAAAATGTACGAATGCATTGTTGGTCTGTCAGAAGAGACCGCTCCCTGAACTGTGGGGGGTGGGAGGTCTTCCATTCCATCCCCCACCCCACCCCTGGGGATCCAGCACTTCAGTCTGACTGTCATTGTGGTTTCTGATGGGTTCACGTGCTCCCTGCAAGATGAACCACATTCCCTCCTGCACTTGACCCAATGTCACCTTGCAGGGAGGGTGGGAGGAGGGCCACTCACTCACTCCAGGCTGGGTTCTGTCAATCAACCTTTCAAATAGACTCACTGGGCCCCTACTAGGTGTGAGGAGCTCTTGTAGGCCCCGGAGTTTACAGAAAGGATATCAATTAAAACGGTGGACAAGACTGCCACCCTCATAAATCGTAGGTTTTGCTGGATGGGAGACCAACAGCGCATTAGGAAACGAAAATTAAACCAAGCAAGATCAGTTCAGAACGTATTCATTTATGAAGAAAAATATAAGGCAGGGCGTGTGAGGGATATTTTAGACAGGGAAGTCAGGGATGGTGTCTTTGAATGGATCACAGCGAAGCAAAGCCCCCAGAGACCACACGGAGGAACAACGTTCCATGTAGAAACGGGTGGTACAAAGGACCTATAGCAGGGACAAGCATTCTGCACTAGAGGAACAGGGAGAGGGTGTCTCAGAAAGAGGATGAGGATGGAAAACGGTCCAGGATGGGGGGCAGATCACAGGGGACTTCTGGGAGAGAAGCGGGACCTAGTACATACTTTAAAGACATCCYTCGGGGGCCCTGGGATGACGCTATGAGAGGCATGCTCCAGGACAGGCAGGGGCAGGGACGAGGCTATCAATGAGAAGGCCGTCTGTGGYACACTGTCACCTGTCCCCAGAGCTCCTCTTGGTGGCAGGGAGATTTGTGGGCACCAGGTGGGGTTCCATGGGAGGGGGCTCTTCGTCTTTAACCACACGATGCAGACAAGGCCCGAATGTATTTGATATCCCTGCACAACCCTGAGCATTATTGATTCCTTGGGAAATAGACCACAATTATTTTTGAAAATAGATGGCATATTTGTCTATCCTCTGAAGCAGCTCATACTCCAATAGATAAAGTGTCAGGAGAAAAATCAAAGAAAATGGAGGTGTCCATATCTCAGATAGATTTTTTTTTTTTTAAATATTGGCCACGTACAAACAACTAGCAGAAAAGCTCAAAAGGAGAACAGCTGAGGGACCAGGAAGAAAGCAGAAGAGAAGTCCTCACGGCAGGGGRCCAGTAGGATGCCGAAACAAGAGAAGTGGCCAGAGCAGTCCGGTCACCATTTCCCTCTGCTTGGTTAAGAGCGTCTTGATGTTTTCTTTAAGGAGACAGAGCAGGGAGCCCCCCAACCTCCACTTCATGTAGCCTGAGAAGACTGACACTCTCTCTCTGTCTACCCCACTATGGCCTTATAACCAGATTGGGCCAAAGGAGCTCCTTAATCCTTTCTGAACTTAAGAAAGGCAAGCTGGGTGGGTCCCACCACTTCCACCCCAAAGACTCCTGGTTCAAACATGGGTGTCAGGAGGCTCTACTTCAAAGAAGAACACCATCAGCTCAGACAAAACATCAACAGCCCAGACTGGGAACGCAGGAGGGGGTGTCATTTGGTGAGATGATCGTGAAGCACCAAATCGGGAAATTCGGGTCATCGCTGACCCACCCAGTGCCACGCAGCCAGGCCAGCTGAGGACGCGCCAGTGTTAGTGACTGACACAGTTGTGGACCTGGGCCAGAAACACGGCCAGGCGAGGATRGGGGGTGGGTACACCTCCTCCTCGGCCCTGGGCCCCCAGCTGCGCCCAGATCTCTCACCTGTGTGTATCCTCAGGTGGACCTTAAGGTGGTGGGATGTCCGGAAAGTTTTCCCACAGTACGGACAGTCCTTCATGGCCGAGCCCAGGCTCCTGTCGCGAAGCAGCGCCGGTTGCTGGACGCCGGCGGATCTCCCAGCCTCCTCGCCAATGTCTGCAGTGGAGGAGAAGGATTCTCACATCACTTCAGCACATGTCAGAAGTTGTTCACACCAAAACTGCTAACACCACACAAAGTTAAACATGTCAATACTACACCTGTCTATTTCATTCTTTAAATCTGACAGAATGCTGACAATTCATGTATTTTCTTGTTATTCTCTTAAATTATTTCATCTTTCCTATCATCATTTTAAGCAGCATATGGTACCTTTATATTGAACTGAATTAAACAAGAGAAGAAACAGCTGTGTCAGCAGCTGGTTTGATTTCTTCTTTTGCTTAGTTCCTATTAAATATTTTTTTTCCAAAAGTTTAAAAATGTGGGTGTTTGTGGAATCTGATTAATTTATAATATGGGCTAGCTGGAGAGTTCACTATAGGATCGAAATCAGATTTGCATTATAGCTGGCAACCAATAAAGAAAGAAAGAAAGAAAGAAAGAGAGAGAGAGAGAGAGAGAGAGAGAGAGAGAGAGAAAGGGTCTCAGCTGATTCCCTAAGACATGCAGACATACAGCTATTTTGGGACAGGAAAGAAAATTATCCAAAACCGATCATTTCTTCCTTGTAGAGTCTTGTATCCATTGCTGGCTGGTGTAATCGCATGAAAGGGAGAAGAAAAAGTATGGAAATGCGGTTCCACAATTAGCCCATGATAAACATATAGTGGCATATTCGAAGTCATGTGCAGAAACTCAGCTGCAAAACTCCCATAAACTTAGAGCCCTGCATTTAAATCTCCATGCAGTGACTTGAGAAGTTCCTCTGTAAAGTATCAATACAAATTTTCCTTCCTGCTGTTATTTGTTATGTAACCCAAACCATTAGAAAATGGAATAAAATTTACATACGGCTGCCTTCTGCACAGAAATGATGGGACATAATAGTAAATAAAACTGTGAAAATATCTGGTGGTTGGAGGATATGTGACTGCAGTACCCAGGGCCTCACATCACACTGCCGCCCAGGCGACATCCGGGGAGCAGGACGGGAGTTTGGAATCTGCTCCCTGAGGAGGGGAGACAAGGGAGCCCTCTCTGGACTCCTTCCTGATTCATGGGCCTCCCCACAGAGCTGGAAGCTGAAGGCCTGGCCCAGAATCCAAGCTCCGGGGGCTCGCAGGGTCCTTGCCACAGATTCTGGTCCACCCTCTAGGCCTTGTGGTAAATCCCACTATGGGAACAAGGGGACCTTCTGAGATAATGAGCAGATCTGTGAGTTCTGCAGAGATGAGAATAAATAAAATTTGTACCTTCCAAGCAATGGAAAATGCAAATGGCTTCTGTTCAGCAACATTCATTCCTGGTGTTCTCTGCTAACGGCCGGAAGGGACAGACTTATAGACCATGAACAAGATGAAGGCAAACACGCTTTATTCTTATTTGAATGTTTGCTCCAAACAACTGTAGAAGAGCTTTGGCTTGGAGCACCCTTTGAATTTGGACCTTGGTGTGACCAGATAATCACCCTGGAAAAGTTCATTAAAACCCCACTTTTAATCCTAATTTTCTCAACTCTTCTAGCCATTTGGAAGAGGCATTTTTTTTCCCCACCATTTTGTACAAATGCAAAATGCATTTGGTGGACGAGGCTCATCCATGTCTACAACTCAAAGTCAGTCACCACAACTCAAAGTCAGTCACCACCCTACCAAGCGCTACGTTAGTGGTCATCTAAGTGAAAGCAGGCCGAGTCTCCAGGGGTTGCTCTAGAGGTGGTTTATCCTCAGCCCAGAAGAGCAATAGACAGTTGTCAATCCCAAGTCAACCAACCAAGGTTTAAACTGGGGAAACACCAGCTCCTCCTACCCATCTCCTCCTAGCCCAACGCACAGCTTGCTGCCTTTGTCTCCTGGCAGTACCCAGTTTTCCTTGTGCTGGGACCATGAGGTCAGCTTAAACAACCATGATCCTCATTAAAATTCTGCCCAAGYGCCACTCAAAACATAGTTCAGGTGCCCAATCGAAGTTCAGAGGCCACCCAGCTGTCGGTTTGAATTATTAACCGGACTTAAGTGTCCTGGATGTTGGCTTTAGGTAGAGGCAGGCAGGTGCAGACTTTTGAAGGTAAGTTCCTACAGGTCCTCCTGTCCTGTGACCGGTCCCTCTGCCCAGAAGCTTCTTCTCCTGTTCCCCACCCCACCCCTGCCCTATGAACAGCAGCAAGGTGGCAGCTATGGAATAAAAGCTGAAGGAGAGCCGACGGAGGGAATATTTTCCCTTGGAGAGTTTGGTTAGTGCTTGTCCAGAGCACATTCTAGATAAATATCGAGACAAGACTGACGCGCTCCTCTGGAAGACTTTACAGAAGTTGGGGATGAGCTGCGCCTCGGTATATGTCACTCTACGTGATGGCCTGTATCTGTTTCCCTTTTATCTTTCTATCTTGGGTATGTGTGGCCCAATAAAAAGAATAAATTTGTAAGATAAACAGCTTTCTTTGCAGATTTAAGAGTCTAATTTTCACTTTACACAGGAATGGCTTTTTTTCTGGGAGGGCCAGGAGGCCTATAGAGTTTACTCTTAGACTAATCCTCCTAGAAAAACAAACTCTGCGCAGCAATGAAGGGGAAGGTGGGTGGTCCCAGGAAGTGTCCAGAGAGGCTGGAAGCCAAGTACAGTGAAGGCCGGGGAAGTTCTGGCCCGACCGACCGCACATTCACAGGCCCTGTGTCTAAGTCCTATCTGGTGCCTGGGTGGGTGTGTGCTGGCCCAGCCCTGCCCAGAACCCAAAGAGCCCCATTCAGAAGGAAAGAGGCCCTGCTCCCAATGCTGTCTCTACCTGAGTGTAAAAGTCTGTCCCTTTGCAAACTGCAAGACCAACTTCCACGGCTTGGCCTGCCATACCACACAGTCACTGGCCCTGGGTGCCACTCCAAGGAGCAGGTGGTAGAAAGGAAGAGGTATGAGAAAAAGTGCCTCTGTGATCCTTGGTCAGACCACCTGTGCGTTGGTCTGARTTTTGTTTTTTGTTTTTGTTTTTTTTTTTGTTTTTGTTTAATTTCCTTTTATCCAACTTGCAGTTTTTCTTTTCTCTTTTATCAGACACTTTCTCTAAGTGTGTTGGGTAGACTACAGAGGACAGCTCTGAACTTACCACCTAATCCTACCTGCTCTTCTGAGAAAGGAGGAGCCGCTCTACCTAGCAGGGGGGCGTTTGGCTACAGGTGGCCTTTGCTTCACACACCCTCCTCTTGGCTGTGCTCTGGGGTTTGCATGGTGGAGAAATGGCTGGGAAATACTCCTGAGGATGCCGTTTCCTTTCTTGACCCCACTGAATGCTTGGTATGGGTGCCACCCGTGACATTCCAGAGACACCCAGACTGCATCTGCCCTCTTCCCGAAGTACCAGCCTAGGACCAGTGGAATGAAAAAGGGAAGCAACAACTCTGCCAGCTTTTCTCTGYGCCTACCAGCAGAGACTTATTTATTTCCTGTAAGAGAGGAGACAGATCCAAACCAGTTCAAGTTTTGTTTCACAGATATGTTATTTGGGAGTGAGGGGGCCATCAGACAACAGACCTGACTAATTTCATCTTCTCAAGGTCAGAAACCGTGCCTTCTGTATTTCCATTTTCTTGTTTTAATGAATCCTCCAAGTGAACTGCGAGTTTGCCTAGGTCAAGTTGACATTAAAGAGCATACCTTCCCTGCGTCTTCCTGGCGGGGGGGGGGGCCCACAGCTGTGGGCTGAAGAAAGAGATGGGGGGGKGTGGAGGGAGATGGCCACCGACCTTCTTAGAACCGTCATCATCCAGTAGACCATAAACTGACAGTACTGGAAAGACACAGAGATGCTTGGAAAAACAAATAACATTTCAAAGTTGAAGTCTAGACACAAAAGTTAGAGTCCAGATACTGGAGTGATTGTTCAACGCCATCCCTGAGACGGGCTATCTTGCTGTACGCAAACATGATTCGAATTTTACGGCTGCCTCATTAGACACTCAACCTTATTAATATATGATATATTTAGAATTTGAAAACTTGGTTTATAAAATGCCTTTGTACCTTAAGGGCAGATTTCCCTGCAGATTATCTTTAAACATACTTCCTTGGTTTATTTAAAATAGGCTTGTTTGCTGAGAAGTGCTGTCCCAGGAGTTGGGTGGCGGAGTCCTTTCCTCCTGGATAGAGAAGCCTGCCTGTCCTTGGGCAAGTTTCTTCACCCTTCCCCTGGCCTTTAGTTCCTTTCTCACCCAGGGGCCTACAGCTCTGGCTTCCTGTAATCCTGTGATGCTGGAAGAACCCAAGCCCACCCCAGGCTGTCTCTGCCCACGGCCGCATAGTAACCTCACTCCAGAACTAAATAAGAAACTGCAGGTGAGTCTTCCAGAGAGGGAAAGAAATGACCATCAAAGGGACAATAACTACTCCTGGAATATTCCATGGACCCCTCCATTTCTCAACTTCCTCTGTGCTAAGTGGAGACCAGGTGACTCATTCCACCAACGGATGAAAACAATGCAGAGGATTTAGCAAGCCCGCACCTCTGCCCCTTCCTCMCCAGATGCACAAGGATTGAGAGAGGGGAATCACCAGATGGGTGGGAGCCRACCCAAATCAGACGTTGCATGAATGAGAAATAAATCTTGGCAAAGTTAAACCACGGAGATTTAGAGGGCTGCTGTTGTGGGAGGTGGTCAGGAGCTGTCTAAGAGGAGTAGACCTACTGATGCGGGGTTCTGGGTTCTACCTAATCTCCCAGCTAGTCCTATTTCACAGAATGAGAGACAGAGCCGACACCCAAAGAAGCAACACGAGACAAAAGAAAGACAGGTATTTTAAGTCGTGCCTGTTTTCTCAGTTCTTACTTCATCCTGCTGCTAGACAGCCTGATCCTTCACACTCCCAAGAGGATATTTTGGAAATATTTCTGCTAAAACCAAAAGGACAGTGGTGATGATGGTATGGATGGCGGTGATGGTGGTGCTGAAATCCACGCAGTGGATGGAGACTCACTCCAGCAACCTCACGAGGGAATGGCG